TTGTCTGAGACTTCATCTGCATGCACAGGAATCCGTCTAACACGAGCCAAACGCCACTAATTTACCGACATTGGCCTGAAAACAATGTGTTGCAATGAGTTTCTACTATCAGTTACACCTTTATGTGTTTCCACGTCACTCCTTTCAAAAGTATTTATACCTGCTTAATTTACTTTACATCTTTGTCTCACCACAATACGAACAAACACAAAGTGAGAAGTTGAAGGAGATTATCATTTTTTACAAGCAAAAATCTCAAATGTGCGGCATGTTAATCCCAATTCAGACACAGTCCAAATGAGCAGACAGACTGACCAAGGGCAGCATTAATCAGAAAGGAGCAAAGTCGCCATGGAATGGTTACAATCTTTTAACCTATTTGAACAAGAATCTGAGCAAAGTAAGTTGTGAAATAGTTTAAAGCATCTGACATACTGGAAATGTTGGAAATGTTCCCTTCAGATAATATTGTGCTTCTAGTGCTTTTAGATACAACCTAGCAGATTTTGTTGAGGTCGAGCCACTGATAGAAAATTCATCTCTGTGACATTTGTTTCCTGTGGCTAGGGCTGTCACAATAATACATTTTGCTAGATGATAAATTGTGCCAGAAGTTATCGCGATAAACAATTATGTTGTTGTTTTGAAACCATTTTCAAGTAATAATACTACAAGAACGCATTCATACAGATCAATAAAGTTTCATTTCTGATGAACATTTACCGCTGGAAGTGGAAGACATTTTAAATATCCAAAATTAACAAACAGAAACGACAAATAACCAAAACACCAGACTGAAGACTTTTATCATCCAGAATTTGGTAGAAAAACAGAAAAATTATAAATTATGCAAGTAAAAATGATTGAGTTTGTTTTAATTTCTCATGTGATTAATTGATTTATTGATTATTGTGACAGGCCTACCTGTGGCAACTTTTCTTATGAGTCATACGGGCAGTTGCCCAGGGTGGCATTAGAAGGACGAACGCAACAGATACACATCAGATCAAGTTTTCTGTTTCATTTCTGTTCAGTCAGCGGAGAGTTGACCCCTCCCCTGCTTGTTTCTTAGAATAGAGAAGCTTTGTGCAGAAGTAGACATGTTTTTATTCTGCCTCAGATTTCCTCTATTTTAACTGGTAATTAGAGAAAAACGAGATTAAACATGTTTATTTTTTTCCTGAATTGCTCTTTTATACATCACAAAACCGTAAGTGCTGCTTATAATAACAAAGTCAAGAAACCTTGAAAAGTTTTTCTTTTATTACTCAGCCTGAATGTCTTTTCAGAAACTTTTGTTGTGCTTGCAGCCGCTCCAAGTTTCAGTAACAAAACAGTTTAAATAGACTATTGATCTTGTGTCTCTCCCTCACCTCTGGTGTCTGTCTGCTTGCTTCTGGCTGTCCCCACTAATTCTCAACGCCTTGGATTTTCTGACAACACACACAATGCTAATTCACACATTGAGCCACCGTGTTCTGTGGCTTTACAGCATTGAGCTTCCTGGTTTCACTGGGACCAAAAGATCCTCAAAATATTGGAAATTCCCAACTGTACTGGATGATCTAATGCAGTCCAAAACAGTTAACAATAAAATCTTCTGTAAGTTTAGACATTACTGGCACTCTTTAATAAATTTGAAGGAGACAGTTTTCCAAATTTCAACTTTTTTTGAAGTTTTATTTAGGTTGGATTGCAGTCTGTCATCTAGAGGTGGAAGCCAGCGAGTCAAAAATGATTGGATCAGAATTTTTGGTGCGTCTCCTAAGTGCAAAAAACCAAGAGAGGAAGAAAAGCAACACTCCACATGACCCTGAATTAGAGATATGGACGTAAACAACCTTAACATTTTACAACAATAATTCATGGCATTTGTTATAACAATAAAAAAATAATTAAAAAAATGATAGTTTCAACACAAATCCTGGTGAAATATCCATCATTGAACAGACTGCTTTACTTCACTAATTACATAAAGTGTTGCGGTTTAACTGCAGTAACAAGTCATATTTTCAAATATACTTTTTTAATTGAGGCTCTTATTAAACCAGCACTGGGAAAGGAGAGACTTATGTTTCAAACCGTAAAAATAGCAATCCCAACAACACCGCCAGCTTTTTAGGTTTATTGTTCTGTTAAATCTGAATTTTCATTATATATATTTTTACTTCTACAGTAACAATAAACTGTATAATTACCCATTCCTACCCTGAACTCATAACCCTGCCATTGTTAAACTTGGAATTGGCAGCATGATGCTGTGCTTCTGCGTTAACGGGACAGAAGAAGAAGGAGGAGGAGAAGAAAAGTCGTGCAGAACACCTGAAACTAAGGGTTGAAGTTTAACTTACAATATATTAAAAACTTTACTATTAAAAATTATTTTATAATAAATAAAATGAGATTTTTGCTTCTCTTGAAAAGAATCCTGCTGATTTTGTGTTGTAGGTTCTCGTCTCTTTCTGGACCGCACAGCTCCACTTGTGGAACGTCGTCACGTATTTTGAGTTGATCCGGGGTGAAAAGTTCACCTCTGTTGATCTGAGAGAAAACGTGGAGAAGAAACTGAAATTGTATAAATGAAGTGAAATCTATTGCTTTGTAGTTTAGGGTCAGGAGGGAATGCTTTTGAAAAATTGAGGTTCCTCTTAAAGAACCCCACTCAGAGCAGACAAACTTTTCTTTGCTGTCTCATCCAGTGTATTCTATAAATTATCTATATTTCACACATAGTTTTATTTCTCATTTAGGATATTTTTAATTTTTTTCTGTACACATCCTTTTCTGACCAGGTGGAAGTATGTCTGAGTCAGAATTGTGTGAGTGTGCGCAGCAGCGGCGTCTCGCACGCCGCGCTTCCTCTCAATGCGTGACCTGTTAATTAAAGGAGAAGTTTCATTATCAGCTTCATTAGCCGGCGCGGGGCCAGAGTCGGCGCTCCCAATCGCAAACAGGCTCAGAGACTTCCGGTTAACTGAGCCGCTGTAATATGAACCTGATGTTGTGTTTCCAGATGAGGGTGTAATCTGTCCTCCCTCATAATGAGAAGCGAGCCTGGGACCTGTTAAACGGCAGAGGAGTTGTTGTCGTTCCCATTAAAGGGCAACTTTGATTTCACCCTTTTAATCGTTGATCACATTTCCCCAAGAACAAAAATGCAAAAAACAACAAAAAAAAAGTTGAGAATGAGAGTTCATTTCTTAATTTTCACTTTAAACGCTTCTTCTCACAAATGCATTTTAATTCAATTTAAGACGGAGAAAGAGTTGCAACCTTGAGCTTTTTTTTTTGGAAACCAATTAAAGTGGGAAATGCTCGGCTGTTTGTCAGCAGGTCTGTTTGAGGCAGCTGACATCTCCAATGAATGAAAATAAGGAAAATAATATTTTAACAAAATATTTTTTGAGAAAAACAAACACTGGTTGGTGAATTTAGCTAAGCTGCTTGATACTGCTCTGCTGCAAGCAATAACTCAACTAATTGCATAATAAATTAAATTGAGCTTCATAATTTCCATCCTGATATGTTTTGGAGGACAATCCTGTTCACAATCAATTTCATTCATGAATTTACAACATTTTTGTTTTTGTTGTTTTGGATGTTTAAAATATTTCAAGTGTCCTTTACAAAACGTTTATTGGTCGTTCACCAATAGAGAATTGATAATTATTATGATTAATATAATGACATTGAAAATAGTCTCAAGACAACAATATTATCAATTGTCGCAATAATTACTGGGACAATTTATTATCTAGAAAAATGTATCGTGACAGGCTGAATTTTCCTACAAATTCCACCAAACCTGACTTTGTGGGGATTTTATGTCACGAAACAATAAAATATACTGCATAAAAACAATTCATGTCTTTTTAATGTTTTTTTATTAAAACATTGTCTCTACATGTAATCATTTATATTAGTTATTTTTCCAAAGTTTCTCATAACAAAAAAAAAATTATCTTTTTTCCATGGAAACTACATTTTGTATCGATGACAAAAAGTTTTCTTATTAGATGAATTCATATGGAGATTAAGTGGCACACAGGTCATTTATTTGCTAATGAGTTGACGTGATGTTTTCTTTTGGGGAATTAGAAGGAAGGAGTTCAATAAACACTTTTTCAGTTTTTTATCAGCAAAATCTTTTTCCCTTCACCCGAGCTATAAACTACTTTTTTTGGTCTGTCAGATGAAATTCTAACCTGAAGTTTAAGTTAAATCGTTTTGGAAAAACTCCTGAGTTTTCAAGCTAGACCCAGATAAGAGGGTTTAGAGTAATGAGCTAAATCCAGACTGATCTGCTCCTTTTCTCTATCATTTCAGTCTTGCCGATACTAAAGGTTGGGTTTCTGACAGGCGGCTCTGAGAACCAGCTGTAAGGATTACACCAGCTCCTCTCTGGGAGGAAAGGAAGTTTTTTTCTCTTCTCGGAAACCGCTAGCCATTCACGCTAGCCGCCGCCGCAGCTCGGTGTATTTAAAAATGGGTGAGAAGAGAGAACGGTTCATCGCAGTTTTAAGATTTATCAAGGGGGAACGAGGTTGGCTCGAACCGCTTTACTTAAAACCTGCGTCTTTGTGTTTACCCGGTTCTGTTTGATCTCCCAACAAAAGAAGGCCTCCTGTCGGGAGGTAAACACTTTTTGGCAGCTCCGTTAGAGCTTTGATCAGAGGCCGTCACTGAAGGAGCAGGTGATGGCGAAGCCTCAGCAGCAGCTGTGAGTGCAGACGTCAGGTTGAGCGCTTCCTCAACCCTGTCCGCGATGCCCACACCCACCCAGCCAGCCAGCGACGGCCTGGGAGTGGGCCGCTGATTGATGGGATGAGGATGCAATTAGCCCTGAGCAGGATTAGAAGAGTCTCTTATCATGCTGGGCACCATGTTGCTTTGCTTCTGTGGAGAAGTTTGGATAGTCTGAAGAACATTATGAAAGCATTTTTAGTATTTCTGTGTGCTTTTTCGGTTCTGACGGTCTGTGTTTTTGTTTGTCCGTCCAGATGAAAGAGAAGACGTTCAGAAGAAGACTTTCACAAAATGGGTCAACTTGCAGTTGTGTAAGGTAAGAGACGTGGTTTGTGTTCTGGGTTTCACACCGTGGGCGGGACGGGGAGTCCAAAATCTAAAATGTTTGATCTAACACCCATAGAAATTCTCCAGACAAACCTTAATTTTTTTTTATTAAGGACTGCAACAAATTATTATTTTAGTAATCAGTTATTCTGTCGATTATTGTGATAAATCAGATATTAAAAAAAAAGGAAGCTTATTTTGTTCTGGAATGGCCCAGTCAAAGTCCAGCCCTCAGTCTAATTGAGAATCTATCCAGTTTGAGTTGTTTTACAAAGATACTCAAAGAAAAAAAAATGTGCAGGGCTGAGAAATCCACTAGTTATTGCAGTGAATTTAGAGGCGTCAGAGTACAGGGGCATGGAATAAATGCAGAGCACTCTCTTAAGATTATTTTAAAATATTTTTGAAAACCATGCATCATTTTCTTTCCATTTCATTTTGAGATTTTGATATGAAAATGTTTGAGTACTTGTGTGAGGGTCCGTGCTGCTCAGAGTAACCAGGTAGTTTTCTACCCTTCTGTCTTTATGTTGTTGTATACAAACTAAAACCTCTAATCCTTAATTGGACAAGGCCAATATGGACGCATGCAGTTGGTCCATTTTGTCTGAAGCAGGACTCACACCAAAACACACACCGCATCACTTTTATCACTCTGTACTCTCTTCAGTGACTCTCGGGGCCCCGTTCCATGTTTTTGTTTTCATTCATTTCCTTCCACTTTCAAAGGCAAATAAACAGGAGGGAAGGATTTGTTGTTCTTAATGCCGAAAGCATCTTTTCTGCTGCTTTCATCCTTTCAGCCAAGCTGTTTCCTTTGGTCTCGAAGTGACAAACAATTTGAGCGTTTCCCTTTATGGCGCTCAAAGGTTATTCCCTCCACGTCCGTCTTCTCTTTAGAGTCGTGTCAGTAATGCTGGGCTGCAGCAACACCAATGAGCGGCACGGGGCTGGCTTGTTTTGGAGAGGGGCTATCTACAGAGCTGAGTGATATTGTTTTTTTTTTTTTTTTTTTTTTTTTCAATTAAAAGCGACACGTTCTGATGCTATGATGCAGTTTGGGTATTTATTATCTGAATAATAAGAGTCCTGTCTCTTTAAAGAATCCATGTGATGGCCGCTGAAGAGTCTCATCAGCTAGCTAGGTAGCTAGCTAGCCAGTCATGTCTGCTAACTTTTAAATATTTGATGAGCTCTCTAGAAACCAGGTGGAAATTTACTGAAGATCTTTTTGCTTTGTGTGGCAATTCAGATATTCTTTTGGGTAAAAAAGCAAAAAATAAAAATAAAAAAACATTACTCTTTTTTTTTTTTTTTGTAAACAATGTAAATGGCGGATGTTACCGGAACATTAGAGCTAACCCCAAAACACAGACTGTCATGTACTCCAAGGACAGATTGTAAACAGGAGTTTACTTTTTGCCAGTTTCCTTATGAGACATATTTTGTTGACGTCCACTCTAAAGCAAGTTTAAAGGGAGATTTTCTTTTAAAATATTAGAATATTAAAATATTAAATATCCTGTAAAATCATTTGTGTTCCACTGAAGCACTTTATTGCATTTGTTCAACCTGAATAACTAAAGTAAATGTGGACCTTTTGGCTGTTTGTTGAATTGTTTTCATTTACTCCATAAATACACACTTTTTTGGAAAAAAGTGGAATTCAGAACAATAAACACGGATAATGTGGAAATAATAAAGGAGAACTTTGTCTTCTAGTGTTTATAAAAGATAAATAATAAGATAAATAATATCCTGCAGCACATTCATCTTGTGCTTTTTGTTTTCACAAATGTCTGAAGAATTGTTTGTGTGTGGGGCATACTACCGATGCATTAGTCCGCTTTCTATTTTCAAAGTTGATTACAAACAAGGTTTTTGAGGTGTGCAGTTGCCATGGTTATTGAGATTTATGAGCATGTGTGCACGTTTTGGCTTGTGTGGCTGTCGTCGTGCATTTCAATGTGTAAGCAAGTAATTCATTTGCTATTAGCCTCGTGTTTTTATCCTTTTCCTTTCGTTCCTTTGCTCCATCAGCTTCATTTGTTCTACTTTCTGATTTCATTTACCTCCATGTTTTAGGATTTTTATCTCGTCTCCTTTTCCTTTTTCCTCATTTGCAATTAGATCTGCTCTCTCCGTGTGAAAAGCCCCGTTAGGTCGGATAGATGTCCCGTGGAACAAGAAACTGCAGAAGAGAACAGTGTGAAGATTAATAAAATCCTTGGAGTCTCTCTATTTAATTAATTAGATTTTTCACTCTATCCAAAATGTGATGTGATGTGGGGGGAAAAATAGCAATGTCCTGATAAAAGCTTTATAAGATGATCGGTGTTAAATCTTTACATCTGTGCATACCCGTATGTGCGGAACCAGTTTTTAAAAATCATGGTCATCTTTTTTCTTGAACTGAAGAATCTGAGTTTTCATCCGTTCACACGTCGTTCAAACAGCGGTCAGTAGATAAGACGAGAAAATACGCAATGCTACATTGATGAGAATGAGATATTTTCAATCAAATCTAATTTGAATATATCTGTAATAAATGAAAAGCAATTCGGCCCCAATGACTATTTTGTGTTTCCACAAACAGATTTCTAACCAGCATGATGAAAAGTCATTATCAGCCATTTCTGTCAACATTACTAAATTTTATCCATTATAATGTCTTTTAAAAATGTCTGACTCTCTTGCTGATTTATTCTTATGGGGGTAATATTTTCAAATGTTCTTTAAAGAATATTTCCAAATTCATATATTTTAAATGACTTTTTTTTAGAAGAGAGACATTGCAGAAGTATTTGTTTCTGTTGACCCTGACCTTTCTGAAACTGTTCAGTTAATTCCTAGTTTATCACTCATTTCTAAATCTAAAAACTATGGTATGAATTCCTAAACCAGCGCAGTCAACTCTCCATACGGCTGTAACAAAAATATAGTCGGAATTTTTAAGACCAGTAAACCATAACTTAGAACATTTTAGCGTAAAATCTTAACTTTTAGTAACATTAGGGTTTCTCCCGTTGTATTACAACCCTGGCAGCCCGCCAGGCTTTGCTTTCAATTATCATTGTATTTTAGCCATTTTAGTTCTGAGAAAATGGCTCTAAAATATCCACCTATTCTATATTTACAGTAAAACTGCTCAGCTACTATTGAATTGTTGGTATCATTGATTATTAGTATCAATAATAGATTCAGTAGGAGGCATTATAGGTTTATTTCTTGAATGGGCCTTGTGGTTCCTGTGTTACAGAACACTGTCAATCAACTGAGTCTGAAGAACTGAATTTATTCAATAGACTATCATCAAATTACTTTTTCCATAAGTCAATTTAAAAAGTAGAGCTTCTATTTTATGCAGATGTATTAGACACAGATTGCTTCTATTGGAACCCATAATGATTATGGTTTGCAGCTAATAAAACCCCCAAATTCAGCTTTGCAGAACTGCTTTATAAGACTATCAAAGGTATTGATTCAGAAATGAATGGTCTCTCTGCTTCCACTGGCTTCATTTAAACACTTCGCTTATCCTGAGAATCTGTAATTCTCAGCCCGGTCTGGCTAAAAGCGACAGAAACCAATTAATTTGTCTAACTATTGTTCAAGTTTATAGAACTGCTGGAACCTTCCACAGACCTGGCCTTGTAGTAATGTATAATTACTCTACAGAGACAACTTGATGACTTCATAAAAGCCACTGAAGCTTTTACTACTCGTATGCAGTACAGGAAAAAGTTTCTTATAGTTTTGTTATTGACCTAATAACTCAGATCTTACAACAAATTTAAAGTTAAGTTGAATAATAGCCAAATATTTTCAAATGAGGATTCATTTGTCTAGGGTTGCTTTGCCATTTCCTGACCAAAACAACTCACCATAACTATTGGAATTCTGTTCTCTTGCATATAATCGTAAAAGAGAACATCTCATAACACCTTTAAATGCATCCAAAGAAAGTAGAATAAAAGTTTTAAAATTGCATAGTGTAACTCTAGCCATGCTAGTTTTTCTTGGACGATTCTGTGCCAAACGCAAACTGATCTCAAGTTATTGACACTTTGCTGCTAGCATTGAGCTCGTAGACTTTCTAATCCTGGATTTGTCACAAAGAATGAGTCTCTGGACTGCTCTACCGGGGTTGAGTTAAAGTGACCTACATAGTGTGGACAAAACAAACCCTGTCCAGGCATGAGCAGCACAGTGACAGACAGCTGAGGAACCGGCTCCAGGGCGGCCGGCAGGGCATGTTGAACCCAAACTCTGACGGGCGAGCTTACGTAACGCCAGCTCACCCAATTATGCCTCCATCCAGCAGAGTCTGAGGCCGTCAACATATTCCAGCCTTAAGCGCCATGCCTTCCTGCCGTTTGAACAGCTTTACTTTTGTTCTTCGCCTTTTTATCCTCTCCGAAACGAAGACTGAGGAAAAAGACAAGACGGAGACGGGCAGAAAGGTGAACTGGAAAGGAAGAAAGCGTTGCCCTCATCAATCGAGACTTGTTTAAGTGCGAGTGTTTGAGACAGCAGAGGGGACGAAGTACATAATAGAGGTGGAAATGAAAGGGACAAGAGTACAAATCGGTAGAGAAGTGAAAAAGAGGGTTAATTAGTGTAAAATGATCGGATTTAGACAAAGGATGGAGTGAAGGAAGGCTGACGGGAAGAAGTTAGGGTTAATAAAAAGGGATAGGTTGAGAATATGCTGGCAGCAAGTTTGATTTGTGTTATTTGCTCCTTAATGAGTCATAAAATCATGCACCCAAGGAAAATGAAACGGTTTGTTTTTAGATAAGGCACTCCGTCCGGTTGCTTAGTATTTCCAATTATTATTGCTTTTTCATAAGGAACTGACTGCAGTTTAGCTTCTACAAATATAATATAGATGCACTGATCCACTTTTTTCTCCTTCTGATACCGATATCTGAGGTTTAGCTTTGGCCGATACCGATCCGATACAGAAAAACGGAGCTGAATTGACTT